TCCTTTTTTTGTATTTTGTAATTTGTATTAAAAAGAACACAATTATTTCAATCATAAAACCATTTCTTCAAATATAAGTTATTATAAAAATACCCATTTTTTCTAATGATAACCAATCATAATGATGATCATGAATTTTTATTTTGTGAACTATTATTTATCTTATATATATATATAGTTTCAAAAAATATGGGCTCTTATGTTGAACTGCGTCCGCGTCGCAGAGCCTGGTAACATTCTAATAGAATGGCGAAGAGTTCTACTTGATAACGACAGCTTGACAGAGTTATGTCCCCTTAGTACGGGTACGGGAGTAAACAAAACACCCGCGATCACAACAAAGTCAGATTTTCATGTGAAATATGTTGTTTATTTCAACGAAACTATATAATTATAAACAGTAAGGTATTTTCTTCTATATATCTGAAAATAACATGTTATTTTTCCCTAAATTTCTACTTATATGTGAAAAACCGTGATTTTCACGGTTGATTGCGGCGTGCAAGTTTTACCCCCTTGAAAAACACATTATCGTCGATTTCTAAATTATTAGATAATAAATAAACATTTTTGTAATTGTCACATTTAGAAAATAATGTTTGAAATTATTCTATATTTTTATAAAAATTATAAATCATCGCGTTAATGAGATATTAAAATATCTTTATATTCCCGGTACGGGGTTTTAGTCCGGGAACAGGGTACAAGATTTACCTACCACCCGGAAATATATACAACAAGTAAGTGTTCAAAACCCAATCCTTTTCCATGATCATTGGGGCTGTCATCTTTACCGAAAGCCGGTCTAAACCCCTAAAACATGTTAAATTACTCTGAACACCTTAGTTTAGGTACAAATATAGCCAAATGCACAGGTACCTACGTGGTCTCGCCTTCTGCGCAGGAACCGGTTTGACTGTTGCAGGCCTTGCAAAGTTTTGTCACCTGAAATGAGCACCTGATAACTAGATCCGACCTTATTTCATAAACGAACAACTCTGGTCCAACCGTTTGGATCGCTATAAACGAAAGCGGCCCAATTTGAACATGGTTATCGAAAGTGAAACAAGGATACGAAACTGCGGCTTGTTTTCGGCTGACAGACCATTTACCATAAAGCCTGTGTCGTGTCGCCGGTAGTTTGTTGGGTGTGCCTATTTAGACATAAACTAGCTAGGGACGAACTGAGTTTCCAAGGAGCAAGGACCAAGAAGTGAAGACACACTGACTACATATTTTGTCTGAACAGGAAAATGGCACTACAGACTACCGGAAGAACTATCGGGAAATTAGCACTGAGTCATGGTAGGTATATATATATATCAACCAACGATACTCATCCGATTTGTACAGTAATTGCTTGTCAGCTTTCGTCGTTTATGCATTCACTTGGATATTTATATAACAGTTTATTCATGTATGTTGAAATAGAAATGTTGACCTCCTTTCATGTTGTAAATATGAATACATGTCACATAATACATTCACAACGGTCTGCTAGTAATATATATATATGTAGCATAAAATCTGAGGGGTACTAAATAAGAAAGAAACGAAAGGTTCCGAACGGCAATCTTGGGAACATTCAACTTTCCTGCACATTTTTCTTTCCACAGGTTCTAAGCTGTCAGCCATGCACTCACAAAGATGGTCTTCTAGTTTATCAAAAAGGGTAAATAAAAAGTTCATATAAAATACACTGATTTTCTAATTTTACGTTTAGGATGGTACCGAAATGTTTAATTTAATACTGTGACTACTAAGTACCGGTAATTACTGATCTTAAATTGTCACCTACCCTTGTAAAATAATAGCCGCTTCCTATCGACTCGGCTAGGGAGACTTTCTCTTTAGCTCAATCGGTAGAACATAAATGACTAGTGTTCCCGGGTTCATGCAACTCCTAGCGGAGGCATTGAAAAAATTATGACCTATATAAGTTTTTTACATATTTAAAATTGTATACAACATGTCTTATGTTTATTTGTATGCTTGTACCACTTGTGTTATTGCAATGCCTTTTACCTGAATAAACGTAATTATTATAATTATTATAATGTATACCAAATTTATACCAGACATTAAATAATAACTTTAATAAACCAATAAACCATGGACTTCAATAGCAGGGTCATATGGTACAAGAGAGAAGTAAAAAGCTTTGTTGTGCATTGAAAACAAATAAGTCATGTTATTGAACCACCTTTAATTACTATTCTTTTCATGCAGAAGACAACCCAGCTGAAAGAAATGCTGAACTCAAAAGAACTTGAGTTTATTATGGAGGCACATAATGGTCTCAGTGCCAGGATTGTTCAGGAAGCAGGTATGTTGTGTTTGTTTACAGTAAGTATAAAGCTTTCATTAGGAGGGGAGGAGTTTACCTGAGGGAGAGGGGCTTACATCTAGAGGGGAGGTCCTTACATCAGGTGGGGAGGGACTTTCTCATCTAGAGGGGAAGGGGTGTCATCTGGAGGGGAGGGGCTTTTATCTAGAAGGGAGGAGCTTACACCAGGAGGGGAAGGGCTTTCATATCTAGGGGAGTGGCTTTCATCAAGAGGGAGTGGCTTACATAATGAGGGGAGGGGTTAATATCTGGAGAGGAGGGGCTTACATCAGGAAGGGAGTGTCTTACACCAGAAGGAGTCAATGTCAGGGTAAGGGGCATAGTCACCGAGAAGGGAAGACTTGATAAGGGCTATGTATACATTAAAAGGAGTAGGCTGACAACTTGGTAATGGGCCGGCTTACATCAGTACACTAGTTGATGGACATACAACTTTTGATGTTATCACATCTCACAAGCTTTATTTGGATAACATTAATTCTATTTCAATATTATTCCTGTATACTAGCTATGCCTAAACCGCCAAATAATTAGATCTAGAACTATCATATCTATCTGTGTTTCTCCAGGATTTAAAGGTATCTGGGGAAGTGGCCTCTCGGTGTCTGCGCAGCTCGGTGTGCGTGACAGTAACGAGGCATCATGGACGCAGGTAGTGGAGGTCACAGAGTTCATGAGTGACGCCACAAACATACCAATCCTGCTGGACGCCGACACTGGATATGGGAACTTCAACAACGCAAGGAGACTTGTCCGTAAATTAGAAGACCGGGGTATCGCTGGTAAATGGATAAGACATACTGTAGCTATATATAGATACAATCATGAGTTGTGTTATTGTGTATATTTCGCCAAATGTTTATAGAATTCTAATAGATTTGAATGTCTCTCTATTGTAAAAAGAAATTAGTGTTTCCCACAAGCCCGTCTAGCAAGGCGCCGCGCCATGCCCTTTTACTCTGGCGCCATGTTCTCTGGCACGATGCCCTTTTTCTCTGGGGCCTGTCTTTTTCTCTGGCGCCATGCCCTTTTACTCTGGCGCCATGCCTTTTTTCTTAGGATTGTTTATTGACATCATGTATGCCTCCCCGTTCCCTCCAAACCACTTCCCTGGTCAGCACACCATGTATGCCTCCCCGTTCCCTCCCAACCCTGACCTGGTCAGTACACCATGTATGCCTACTGGTTCCCTCCCAACCACTGCCCTGGTCAGTACACCACGTATGCCTACTGGTTCCCTCCCAACCACTGCCCTGGTCAGTACACCATGTATGCCTCCCCGTTCCCTCCAAACCACTTCCCTGGTCAGTATACCATGTATCCTCCCTGTTCCCTCCCAACCACTGCCCTGGTCAGTACACCATGTATGCCTACTGGTTCCCTCCCAACCACTGCCCTGATCAGTACACCATGTATGCCTCCCCATTCGCTCCCACACACTGCCCTGCTCAGTACACCATGTATGCCTCCCCGTTCCCTCCCAACCACTGCCCTGGTCAGTACACCATGTATGCCTCCCTGTTCCCTCCCACCCACTGCCCTGGTCAGTACACCATGTATGCCTCCCCGTTCCCTCCCAACCACTGCCCTGGTCAGTACACCATGTATGGTCTAATGTGAGGCCAAAAAGGGCACCTCAATTAACAGCTAATTTAGCGCCCTTTTTGATCAAATGCAAGGTTAAAAAAGCACTTTAATTAGCGGCTAATTAAAATGCCCTTTTTGGCCTAATGTGCCCTTTTGCCTGCCACTTCTCCATGCCCTTTTCCCCCTTCGGGAACACTAGTAATACCTTGTACTTAAGTGTTCAATAACCATAGCTGTCTTACCTGAAGTTTTGTGCCTAACCTTTTGTTGAAAGTTCTAAATCGATTTTTCACAACCAACCATTAAGTCAAAATAATTATTCCCAATTTAGGTAAAAGTATCCTTAACAGTCCGTGTTATTTTGCCTTCTTTAAGAGCAGAAAACATGCTACCTAACAAAAAAGTGCTTTATTTTCCCAAAATGATGAAAAAATTAAGAATATCTACCAAATTTCAGTAAAAACTATTGCTACATTTTCCCAATCCCTGTAGGAACAGGCTGTTGCAAAATTTATGTTGAAAAAAACCCCACAAAACAAAAAACAATCAATCCACTTTTCTTCCTTGATTTTTTTACAGATGTACAAGTAATTTTTGTTGGCCAAAAAATTGATTCTTAGTTAAGCCTCTAGAAAAATTTGGGTTGGTAGGAAATTGATTTTTTTAATTTTATTAATAATAATAATATACAACATTTGATGAAGGGCCCTATCTAGCTAAAATAAACCACTCCAAAGCGCTTTACAGTACATAGATATACAATTCATACAATTAGCATATATAAACATTAATCAGTACAATTTTTGAGGAATTTTCAGGATCTGCCTTATCGGGCGCTAACTACATATGCTAGTCCTATTCCACCTTACTTATATCTCCCTATGTGTGTATGCCTGCGAGTGTGCTGGAGATGTAATGTGTTCTGTTTGTAGTGGGGCCGTACTTCCAAAGGTATCATTTATAGTGCCACCTCACTTGAATGGTACATCACAGATACCGCGACATCCACCCCAGACCAATGTATACTCCACCTAGGTTGTTGGAATGGTTTACATACCTTTATAAAGTTTATATAGTTATATAGAACAATTGCATCTTTTGAGCTTTAATTCAGATGAAATCCTCAGATCTTAGAAATTAGGAATAGTTTTGATTAGCAAATTCACTGGTTGAAATATAGTGAGAGTGAGTGGGAGTGAGAAAAAGGAGGGAGGAATGTAGCGGAACTGGACTAGGTCTATTGTCGGCGACCCAATAGCTCAATTGGTAGAGTGTCCATCTAGAGTTCGCAGGGTCCCTGAGGTTCAAACCCCGTTGCATTTTTCCTCTCCTGTTACATTAGCAAATAGAGCAGGAAAATGCCTGTACATTTTGTTGCACAAATTAAAGGAAGTTCTTTTTTCTGTCTTTAACAGTGGATTTACTGGCCGTCCCACCCGGCCAATAATCATGCCCCTCTCGAGTTTTACTGGCCGTCCCATCCAACCAATAATCCTGCCCCTCTTAAAGTCGGTGAAGTGAGGTTTCACTGAAGAGGTATATAGAAAAAAATGTTTTTCTGAAATGTTATGTTTTTATGAACTTTTTATTGTACCAGTAACATAAAATCAAAGCTGTTGTCTTTACCTCCCAAGGAGCCTGTATCGAAGACAAGCTGTTCCCTAAGACAAACTCACTCCACGATGGCAGAGCACAGCCGTTAGCTGACATTGAAGAGTTCTGTTTGAAGATCAAGGTTAGATCTTTAATTGTTATTTTTACAAAGGACTTGACATTAATTCCAATTTCTCATTCAGAATTCGATTATTTTTGTTTTCCGAGTCACATTTTATATTGTGTTTAGCAATCTTCTCTGAGAAGTAACATGTTTCCTTGTAACATTTGTTATAAACAATATATTTCTGAGGCTATTGGTGTATAAAGGATATATGAAGTGAACAAAATTACAAATTTATCTAAACTGAAAGCATCATCATCATCATATCATCATCATCCTCCTCATCCTCATCATCACCACCACCGCGGCGCCGCGAGGGAAAATTACCTCGGTCTCATCAATGACATTCATAGAGTCTTTATTTATGTTACACTGCATCAGCACAGAAATAGATCTGCACTGTTTTTTGAGTAGATATGCACAGTCTCTAAATATTGCCTGAAGTAAACATTCTTCTGTTAAGTTTGAGAGAACTATTATATATGACTGAACACCGTAATAATCTACTTCTTTTGCCTTGAAATTATCTCTCAGGACAAATCATCATCGTCATCATCATATCATCATCATCATCATATCATCATCATCATCATCATCATCATGTATACCTCAGAATTTTCAAATTTTGCAAAACTCTCGGCAAAACCTCTGGTTTTAACAAATTTGAAAACCCCTCTGGTGGAACTTCCCTATCCTACACCCCTGGGCATTAAATGTTAATCTTTTTTCGCATGTAGACATGTTTTTGATTCTGTATACATGTATATATCTTATTCGTAGGCTTGCAAGGACACACAGACAGACCCTGACTTTTGTATTGTGGCCCGAGTGGAAGCGTTTATCGCTGGTTGGGGACTCGAGGAGGCCCTGAAAAGGGCTGAAGCTTACCGAAATGCAGGTGAGTCTTGTATTATATATAAGACACTCGCAAAAATATGTGTAAAAGTAGTCAAAACTCGTAATCTGAATCTAACAAGACAAAAACTGTTGACTGATGGGTGAATACTAAAAATGGATTAATTTTAGGGGTACTCTGTGACCTATGACTTGACCTTTGACCTTTACTTTTTAAAAATGTTTGTCCAGGGCATGTCTTCTGTACTCTTTGACCTGGAGTAACCAGATTTGGTGTACAAGCTTAAGGACATCTTGGGATGGCGGAGTGCAGAGTGCAAGAATTAGGTCACTGTGACCTATGACTTGACCTTTGACCTTTACTTTTGAAAAGTTTGTTTGGGGCTTTAATGTTGTATTATGTATTAGGATACTTTCCTAACATTGGGTACATCCTGACATTAGGGTACTGTTTGTTAAATACAGAAATCATTACCGGTAGGGGACTATGGATTGCCTTGCAATAATACTTTGCCTTGATTTTTAAAATTTGTTAATGTAATTAAAAAATTGATTGTATTAAAATAAGAATGTTTACAAGATGTGTAAGTTTCTACAGTAAAAGGGTTACTGACTGCTGTATTGCCGTTAAAATATGGAAGTAAAAATTAGTTAATAGGGGTACGTGTATGTATAATTGGACCTCATTCACCCCTTTTCGGTTCCCAGAGAAAAGATTCTGATTAAAGATTTCTAAATAAATGAAAAATATTTGCAGATCTGAAAATTATTTACATATCATGAGAATGTTAACTTTGATAATGGTCCTTTTACTAGGCACAAACTGCTCATAGACAAAGAGATACAGTGTCTGGCCAAGCATGACACAGTAGTCATTGGGTCATGTCTGTGAGACTATTCACTTTTCCTTTATATACCACTTTATCACAACCTAGTTCGTAGGTCGTCTCAAAGTGGTTCACAAATTATTATTCGTGGTTCTTGGGCCTTAGCAACCAGCAGATATCTTTCTCAACTCCATCGGGGGATACAGCTGGTGCTGCCATTTCGGCGCTCACAGCTAGCGTTCAACAATTCTAGTACTATATATACATGCCCAACCACATACTCATTTACAGCTGAGTAGACTGGAACAAGCGGAGTAAAGGATCTTGCTCAAAGATACAAAACAGTGCTGTGCCGTGACTTGAACCCGCAACCCTTCGGTCACGAGCCTGGCGTCCTACCACTAGACTACTGTGCCTCCTGTATATGCGTTTGAAATATTTACAGTTTTACTAAATTCCAAGATTGGTGATCGTTTTCAAAAGTCTGTGTTTTATTTGCAGGAGCTGACGCCATTTTGATGCACAGTAAAAAGTCAGATCCATCTGACATTGAAGCTTTTATGAAAGCTTGGAATAATCAGGTTCGTTTTTATTCCTCGGCGGGCATTAACCCTTTAACCCTTGTGTAACTTTAGTGGACTCTACCATGCATTGATATGGATGAGTCCATTATGGTCTACAGCGGTGAAAGGGTTTAAAATACCCAGTCTCAGAATTTAGAATTTATACACCACAGAAAATATTGGTCTATGAAATATAGATTTTTTATAGACTTCGATCTTAAGACACCAAGAAAATTTTACTTAAATACATTTGGAGTTTGATAACATGAAACGAAAAATGAAGAGAAAATGTGTAATGATAAACGAAGTAAATATTTAACAGAATACTTTTTCCCAAACTGCTAAAGTATATATTTATCATTGATTCTTAAACATTGTAGGAAAAACTTTCAACACAATATGGTGTATGAACATTATTCATGTAGATGAACATTAATTTTTATAATGATTGTCTATTATCAGTCTACCATTAAATTTGAACACTGAATGCCTCTGTATATATTCATACGTGGGGCAGTCGCCAGGTTGGTGGTTTTTCTCCGGGGACTCCGGCTTTCCTCCACCACCAAAACCTGGCACATCCTTAAACTACCAGAGCTAGACATGTTAATAGGACGTAAAACACAAACAAACCAAGACCTTTATTGTCAGAGCTAAAACACAACTTTCAAAAAAAATAAAAAATCTTCTTTAATTACCCGGTAATGAGAATGTAGAACCCAAATGATCATGTTTTTTTCATCAATAACTGACAGATTTGTTGCGTCTGGAGGATTTATGCAAGGATCCGAATTATTAGTGTGTACTTTGTACATATTGCTTAATTAGGGTATTTTGGTAAATGGACTCAATGTCCAAACTAGGAAAAGTCATTATTGTTGATATACTGTAATTCATGATTTATTTGAAAATTTCGAAAATATTATCATCAGGAAACCATTTAATATTTTTTTGGCAAATGAGGCAAATTATCTGTCGACAATAATATAGGGGGGGGGGGGGGGGGGGGGGGGNCAGCCTATTTTCGGTAAAGAAATGTGTTTAATGGACCTGAAATATGTGTGTGATAAAATCTCCTTATTACACATAATAGGGTGAAATTATGTAATTAGTTAGGTTTCGGATGTAGTTTGTTGCGACTGTTTTCTGAAAGTTTTTTCCACAATTTAACTTTCATTTCAGGGACCAGTCGTGATAGTACCTACAAAGTACTACACCACCCCGACTGAAACGTTCAGAGATATGGGCGTTTCCATGGTGATCTGGGCCAACCATAACCTGCGGTCGGCCGTGTCGGCCATGCAACAGACAACAGCACAGATATATAAAGATCAGTCACTTGTAAACGTGGAAAAAAAGGTGAGATTTTGACATCACACTTCACAAGGTGGAAAGTCGGCATTTGTTCTTTCTAAATTGTTACAGCAGATTTTTCTCCAAATGAAATTCGTCAAAAAAATAAATTTTCCTCTAAAATTTCTTATAAGCTGTAGAAACTATAATTTTCAGTATGAGTGGAGGAGTATTTTCTATAAGGCCATGCATGGGAAAAGATGTAATAATGCTACCCTTATCCATTTTTTCTTCATTTTCTTATCAAGTTATAACACAATTTTGCTGATATTTCGGATGACAACTTGAATCACAAGCTAATTTTGACACATTTTCTATTGTTGTTCACAGATTGTGACTGTGAAGGAAGTTTTCCGACTTCAACAGGATGATGAGCTGGTGCAGGCAGAGGACAAGTACCTCCCACAGAAGTGATAGACCACACCCACTGCTATAAACCACACCAACTGTTATAAACCACACCCACTGACAACGACCACTCACACTGACAAAGAACACACCCACTGACATAGACCACATCCACTACCATAGACCACACCCACTGACATATGCCACGCCCACTGATATAGACCACAGCCACTGACAAGCCACACCCACTGACAAAGAACACACCCGCTGACATAGACCACATCCACTACCATAGACCACATCCACTGACATATGCCACACCCACTGATATAGACCACACCCACTGACAGGCCACACCCACTGACAAAGAACAAATCCACTGACATAGACCACATCCATTACCATAGACCACACCCACTGATATATGCCATGCCCACTGATATAGACCACACCCACTGCCAGGCCACACCCACTGACAAAGACCATCCATAAGTATAGTTCACATCCACTACTTCAGACTATATCCCTATGTAGACTAAATGTAGATCACATACTGGTTGTTGTGTGTTAGATTGTGTTGTTTAATTCACCATCAGCTGCTTCCATTTTGAAGTCGCATGATGTGAATCATGTGAAATGGGTTGTATTGTGAATAGTATCCAAGTCACTGAAACATAAAGCTGTAGGTGGCTGAATGTATTTTGTTCTTAAATTAACTCTGATACAGATGAATGCTGATCAAGTGAAATCAATGCAGTTGAAATGCAATTCAAGTGAGCTGTGTACATTTGAATGTCCTTCAAGTGAGCTGTGTACAGTTGAATGTCCTTCAAGTGAGCTGTGTGCAGTTGAATGCAACACAAATGAGCTAAGTGGAGTTGAATGCAATTCAAGTGAGCTTTTTTCATTTTAATGTAATTGAGTGAGTTGTTAACATTTGAATGCTTTAAGTAATCTATATGCAGCTGAATGTTATTTACGTAGTTCACTGTGGAATATGATTTAAGTGAGAAGTGTGCTGTTTTTGGTATCAAGTGATGATACACGTATTTGATAAGTGTTTAAGTTGCAGTAGAACTATAGTATTAAGGTGAAAAATGTGTCTGTTGACTCAATTTATTATTGTTCCTCCATAACATTTGCATCACCTTCAGCAAGTCAATCCCCCTGAAAATGACACTTCCCTTTGTTCTGGTCCCAATCCAGATATTTTCTCATCAAAGTGACCTACAGAGGCCAGGGGGGATACTATGACAGGGTCCCAGGTAACCCAGGGGTGGGAGTTCTGTCTTACAGAGGCCAGGGGGGATACTATGACAGGGTCCCGGGTAACCCAGGGGTGTGAGTTCTGTCTTACAGAGGCCAGGGGGGATACTATGACAGGGTCCCGGGTAACCCAGGGGTGTGAGTTCTGTCTTACAGAGGCCAGGGGGGATACTATGACAGGGTCCCGGGTAACCCAGGGGTGTGAGTTCTGTCTTACAGAGGCCAGGGGGGATACTATGACAGGGTCCCGGGTAACCCAGGGGTGTGAGTTCTGTCTTACAGAGGCCAGGGGGGATACTATGACAGGGTCCCGGGTAACCCAGGGGTGTGAGTTCTGTCTTACAGAGGCCAGGGGGGATACTATGACAGGGTCCCGGGTAACCCAGGGGTGTGAGTTCTGTCTTACAGAGGCCAGGGGGGATACTATGACAGGGTCCCGGGTAACCCAGGGGTGTGAGTTCTGTCTTACAGAGGCCAGGGGGGATACTATGACAGGGTCCCGGGTAACCCAGGGGTGTGAGTTCTGTCTTACAGAGGCCAGGGGGGATACTATGACAGGGTCCCGGGTAACCCAGGGGTGTGAGTTCTGTCTTACAGAGGCCAGGGGGGATACTATGACAGGGTCCCGGGTAACCCAGGGGTGTGAGTTCTGTCTTACAGAGGCCAGGGGGGATACTATGACAGGGTCCCGGGTAACCCAGGGGTGTGAGTTCTGTCTTACAGAGGCCAGGGGGGATACTATGACAGGGTCCCGGGTAACCCAGGGGTGTGAGTTCTGTCTTACAGAGGCCAGGGGGGATACTATGACAGGGTCCCGGGTAACCCAGGGGTGTGAGTTCTGTCTTACAGAGGCCAGGGGGGATACTATGACAGGGTCCCGGGTAACCCAGGGGTGTGAGTTCTGTCTTACAGAGGCCAGGGGGGATACTATGACAGGGTCCCGGGTAACCCAGGGGTGTGAGTTCTGTCTTACAGAGGCCAGGGGGGATACTATGACAGGGTCCCGGGTAACCCAGGGGTGTGAGTTCTGTCTTACAGAGGCCAGGGGGGATACTATGACAGGGTCCCGGGTAACCCAGGGGTGTGAGTTCTGTCTTACAGAGGCCAGGGGGGATACTATGACAGGGTCCCGGGTAACCCAGGGGTGTGAGTTCTGTCTTACAGAGGCCAGGGGGGATACTATGACAGGGTCCCGGGTAACCCAGGGGTGTGAGTTCTGTCTTACAGAGGCCAGGGGGGATACTATGACAGGGTCCCGGGTAACCCAGGGGTGTGAGTTCTGTCTTACAGAGGCCAGGGGGGATACTATGACAGGGTCCCGGGTAACCCAGGGGTGTGAGTTCTGTCTTACAGAGGCCAGGGGGGATACTATGACAGGGTCCCGGGTAACCCAGGGGTGTGAGTTCTGTCTTACAGAGGCCAGGGGGGATACTATGACAGGGTCCCGGGTAACCCAGGGGTGTGAGTTCTGTCTTACAGAGGCCAGGGGGGATACTATGACAGGGTCCCGGGTAACCCAGGGGTGTGAGTTCTGTCTTACAGAGGCCAGGGGGGATACTATGACAGGGTCCCGGGTAACCCAGGGGTGTGAGTTCTGTCTTACAGAGGCCAGGGGGGATACTATGACAGGGTCCCGGGTAACCCAGGGGTGTGAGTTCTGTCTTACAGAGGCCAGGGGGGATACTATGACAGGGTCCCGGGTAACCCAGGGGTGTGAGTTCTGTCTTACAGAGGCCAGGGGGGATACTATGACAGGGTCCCGGGTAACCCAGGGGTGTGAGTTCTGTCTTACAGAGGCCAGGGGGGATACTATGACAGGGTCCCGGGTAACCCAGGGGTGTGAGTTCTGTCTTACAGAGGCCAGGGGGGATACTATGACAGGGTCCCGGGTAACCCAGGGGTGTGAGTATCTTACACCCAATTTGACATGCATGATGCCACAGAGGGACAATAACAATGAGGTAACGTCACAAACATGGAAACATTGCAGAATTTGTGATGTTTATTTTTGGTTTCTGAATCAATTTTGGTTGGAATAAGAGGACAACGCTCTTTCATACCCAGGGATGTAGGTATGGAAATTCAACCCCCGAGACTTTCAAAACTTGTGCAAAAGCCTAAGGATTTTAAAATTTGAGGAAAAGCCTCATGATTTTCATATTGGTGCAAAACCCTCAGGATTTTCAAATCGGTGCAAAACCCTCATGATTTTCAAATTAGTGCAAAACCCTCATGATTTTCAAATGGATGCAAAAGCCTCATGATTTTCAAATTGGTGAAAAAAGCTTGGGTTTTTCAAATTGGTGCAAAAATCTCAGCAAAACCTTGGGTTTTATTCAAAATTTGAAACAGCTTTGGGTGGAATTTCACTATTGTACACCCATGGGCTTGAAAGAGCCTTATAGTAATTAACGAGGACAAAGGTAACCAAGTAATGTGTCGTATAGTAGGAGAGTAAAGCTAACAAGGGAGGATAATAAGGTTTTCAGATAAAGGGAGGTAATCCAATTATAGAAAATTGTAGTTTAGAAGTATGAGAACCAGGGTCCTGATCGTTTATGTGGAACAACCTGTTCGTCTGTTTTTTAATGTGATATTTTGTGGTATAAATCCTTTGTCAAGGCTCACCTTATTACTAGGTCCGACCTAATTTAATAACGAACAACTCTGGTCCAACTGGTTCAACCGTTTGGATCGCGATAAATGAAAGCAGCCCAAGATTTTTCAGATGAACAGGGTATAAAGCCAGTATTTGGAAGTGTTGACCCTGCAGTGTGCTATTAAAATAAACACAAGTTCTATGTTTTCTTAAATTCATATTCTGCTTCAACACAACTTTTTGATATGAACACATCAATGTCACCATTTGTTTTATACAATACGTATCGATAATGACAAGATTTTACAATATAAACATTGCAATCTTTCCAGGTCGGCTTGAAATACAAATTCATAATCGTGATAGTGGGCAGTGTGTATGTGCTATTTAAGCTTATAACAGTAATTTAGAGAATCTCACAAGTGTGTACCTCTAGGGTCCACTCCTATTTTAGTTTATATATATATATATATTAGCAATTATATTTCTGTTTTATTTTTATACTTCCAAGATCTCAGAGAATCAAAATATTGTATGTATGTAACCCCGGTATTTTGTTTTTGATTTGTATTAATTCTTAGTAGATATCTATATATTATTTGAAACAGTGGCAGATCCAGGGGACCTCCTTTCAGAAACCCTGGACCTGCCATATGTTTTTAACAAATGCTCGCCGATACTAAACGTCTTAGAAAAAAGGTTATATTGTTGAAGTTTGTAAATGTATGGCTATGTACATTGTATGTGAACATGTTTCAAAATTAGATCTGATTGGTATACTTAAGGATGTATGCTACCTAACTGTGACTTAAGGATGTATGCTACCTAACTGTGACTTCACGATGTATGCTACCTTACTGTGACTTAAGGATGTATGCTACCTAACTGTGACTTAAGGAAGTATGCTAACTGTGACTTAAGTATGTATGCTACCTAACTGTGACTTAAGGATGTATGCTACCTAACTGTGACTTAAGGATGTATGCTACCTAACTGTGACTTAAGGATGTATGCTACCTAACTGTGACTTAAGGATGTATGCTACCTAACTGTGACTTAAGGATGTATGCTACCTAACTGTGACTTCACGATGTATGCTACCTTACTGTGACTTAAGGATGTATGCTACCTAACTGTGACTTAAGGAAGTATGCTAACTGTGACTTAAGTATGTATGCTACCTAACTGTGACTTAAGGATGTATGCTACCTAACTGTGACTTAAGGATGTATGCTACCTAACTGTGACTTAAGGATGTATGCTACCTAACTGTGACTTCACGATGTATGCTACCTTACTGTGACTTAAGGATGTATGCTACCTAACTGTGACTTAAGGAAGTATGCTAACTGTGACTTAAGTATGTATGCTACCTAACTGTGACTTAAGGATGTATGCTACCTAACTGTGACTTAAGGATGTATATGCTACCTAACTGTGACTGAAGGATGTATGCTACCTACCTCCTTCTCAAAAGAGTTTGACATCAAAAGAAAACTGTACAATATCTTTAATTTATAGTAATTAAGACTTATTGAGGACACATGAAAGGTATTTAGTTGCATTACAATGGTATGAAGTAATTGTTAAGATAGACTTAACTAAACATTAATGTGTCAGTATTTCAAACAAAACTTATTTTGTGTAAAGCCAACATGAACAAAACTTCATAATCGACAAAATAAGATCTGTACTTATTGTCAGTGCTTGGGGATCGAGGTATTGATTGTTTAATTATGAATATATATACTGTATGAACACCTTGTATATTTTTTAGAAGCTTTTACATCTTTAACTCAATCACCCCTGAAATTTCATAATGGACTATTCCAACCTTTGAATTGGAAGAGTTCAAATGTCGTTTCAGGGGTGAATGAGTTAAACCAGTTTTGCTTTTCGAACAAACTTTTTTTCCCCATTTTTCTCCTTAAGGGAAATTTACATTTATATCAAAGTTGGATGTGCCTTTTGTTGTTGGGAGATTTTACTTTAAACTTTTGCTGTATTATGTAATCATATCAATTTTATACTGTATATCAGCTACATCATTTTTTTGTGAATACAAAAAGTCATTTGTATCTCCTATTTTTGCATTTTACTTGTCAGGTTACAAGTGTACCGCAGATTAATACCAAGCGAGTGATGCAGGCCCATTGTGCCTCTTATTCCTTTTTCTTTTAAATGACCTTTTTGCAAAGATTTGAATCTGTGAAAGGTACAGCTTTATTTTTATTCTGATTGAAAAAATAGTCACAAGGTTATCAAATTATTGACCATCATCTCCACACGGGAATTACTGGTAACATGAAATAAATATTTCACTAAATTTATAAAGTAATTTACAGATTGTACGAGGTCCTATATTATTAGAGGTTGCATTCACAATATACCAAAGTGTAGATTCACCCAGATGACTCTTTTACAGAGGTCACCTCTTATATTTGTTCATTGTTTTCTTTAGTGTAGAATTTTGTTTATCATCTGAGCAGATCGGATGGCTGCACCAGATGTTTTTTAATTGAATATTGGGGATGAATCTGGTGGTCTCATACTTACCAGGTACACTCTTTACTTTAGCCAAAGTCTCTAACAGTTTCAATTTAATTAGCCCTGAACAATTTGTTTTCACTGTTAGATATGTCATTGTTATTAAAGTTGTCAAGGACTCCAGTAATTTCAACTTTAATAATAAAAAAATAAAAAAATATGTATACAATGTATATTAATAAAGTTAAAATTTTATTCCTTGATTAAAAACTATATCAATCTGGGATTACTATTTTCAACAGTAGCTGGGTGTAACTGTATGATTATTTATGTTGGGTAGAATTTATATGGTGGTTTTTTGGTCAAACTAAATTATGTGGTTTCTACTCTTTACTTAGCTGTAACATTTAAACTTACCGGTACGTACATTATAGGTATACATTGGGGCAATGACAAATGGTAAAATTCTAAATAAAATCTGGGAAACAAAGAATTTTATTTTTGATTTATTTGGATACCTGGGCCCGTATTCATGAAACCGTTCTCATGCTCAAACATGAATATTGTGCGCAAGATGAACTTCTTATTCTCATTATGAATTAATAAAAAAATCTTATTTCATAAATGATTCAGAAAAACATTGAAGAGATTTAAGGCCGAAAACTGTTTTCAATGTTTACATTTGACTCATTGATTGTTTGACATGATTTAAGTGAGTTACAAGAAAGTTAGTTTGAGCATGGAATTCATGCATGATCACAAGTGCGATTTCATAAATACGGCCCTGTACTTGTCTTGGTCATCTTAATGGACAGTTACTGTTCATCTGCTACTACGGGACCATCAAAATGTTTTTTTAAGGATCCTCGTGCCACAACCAAATGTTTTTACCTGCATGATAATAGCTTCAATAAATATTATACCTCATCTATATAACAGTTCATCTGATTGGGTTATATTGATCACATGATAGGATAAAAAAATATTGACACCCTCGCGCAGTCATATTTCCACTATTCGGAGTATCTCTAGAAAATTTGCAAGTACCAGTTATAAAATATTTTTTATTGTTACACCTGAAGTGAATTTCTAGCTATTTGATTGGTTGGGAGAAAATTGAACAAAAATCTCTGTCACCCTCCGAAAATGCATTGCACGGTTTTAAGGGCGCGGGTGATATTGCCATGAGACAGAGAAAAATATCACATGCGCGAAAAATGTGCGTTCCCCGCTTCGTTTCCCCACCTTGATGGTCACAAGAACGTTTGACGGCAACAGCCAATTTTACCAAGCGCCGATGCGATAGCAATTGTAAACAGCAGACTATCAACAAACAAGATGTCATTATCGAGGTTTGCTGCCGTTTCTGAGCTACAAAGACTTTTGGTGTAACAAAATAGATATGACATTCATTAGCAAGTAACAGTGAATATTGTCAACCCTCAAAACCTATTGTCACCCTCGGCTTCGCCTCGGGTGACAATGGTTTTCTCGGGTTGACAATATTCACTGTCACCTGCTAATGAATGTCATATTTATATAATGTCGTTATGACAAGGAAATATTTTGTTTTGTTTCTCCTTGATTAATCATGTTTCACTTTTCCTTCTCTTAATTGAAACATGATTATTCTCGGAAAAAACAACAAATTACCTGTTAAAAAATATTTTTTAATGCTGTTGTGACAAGGAAACATTTTGTTTTGTTTCTCCTCGATTAATCATGTTTCACTTAAGACTTCCTTCTCTTGAAACATGATTAATCTCGGAAAAAACAAATTACCTGTTATAAAATATTTTTTAACATTGATGTGACAAGGAAACATTTTTGTTTCGTTTCTTTTCGATTAATCATGTTTCACTCGGACTTCCTTCTCTTCAATCTAACGGGAGCGATGTGAAGATATAATTTTAATTAGATTGCCTTCTCTTGAAACATGATTAATCTCGGGAAAACAAATAATCATGTTTCACTCGGACTTCCTTCTCTTGAAACATGATTAATCTCGGAAAAACAAAGAATCATGTTTCCCTACAACAAGTAGAAATAGATTTATAGTAATTTCTGTACTGTTTTAAACTCTAGCTTTCCTCCCCCACCAAAGTCTGGCACGTCCTTAAATGACCATAGCTGTTAATAGGACGTAAAACACAAACAAACAATGCTTATCGGATGTATAATTCTGATTAATGTTGTAACCCTATTTATATAACCTTAATAACTGATGTAGCCTTATTTATCCGTTGGAAACACAGACCCTGTAAATGGTACAAACACCAAACCAGAACAAGTTCACCCATTGTTAAACACCTCCATGTTCAACTCATTGACCCCTGAAGACACATTTGAACCCTTCCAATTTAAAGGTTGGAATGGTTCATTATGAAATTTCAGGGTTGAATGAGTTAATTAAGGATCCCTGTCCCTGTTCGGGTATCCAGTTTAACGTGTTAAAACAGTGAACCTTAAAGAAAATGGCAGTCGCAGATCTGAACCAGGGCTAACCTCAGGAATATTTGGCATGTGCAGATTGAGGGGTCCAGATGTGCCCTGCCGAACCTTAAATGCTGACTATTGCTAGTTTGTGTTATTTCTTTATAAAACCAGGTCAAGCAACATATAGACTTTAAGATACATTATATAATTTAGTGGACGCGTGAAAGAAGGACATATTATTCTCGATATGTTGTTGTTTATTCTCCAAAACTGCATTTTGTAGTTCTGACTACAGTTCAGGCCAAGTGCGTTAGTTTATCATGGAATATTTCTGCATCACCTGAACCATTTCAACCAGGATACGCAAATGTGACCTAAACAATTCCACTGCAGTTTTTCATATAGTAACTTCCCCTCGTTTGAGATATGATTTTAGTGCAACTGCACTCGTGACGTATCATTGACCCGGTAGCTCAACAGGTTAGAGCGAGAGTCTCTGGATCAGGGCTCCAGGGTTTAAATTCTTGTCTCGTCATTTCTGTATATTTCATTTTGTATTATTCTTCACGATAGTTTCCCGTGGTAGACACTAATTTTAGCCATGATTTATTGATGCTTGGTCATGCTGGTAGAGAAAAGTTCCAATACATAGATACATGTTTTGGCAGTGGTACAAGGATCATTAAATAAATCCTACATCTGGGGTGCGTTTGTTTATCATGTTGTAAAGGGCTTGACCAGAGATATTTGTTAGCTGGCTTATAAAATACGGACGAATCTAGTGATTTGATTTTGTTTCCTGATGAGTATTTGCCAAGATTTTAAAGGCCTGCATTAATATTTGCAAACTGGTTGGTCCACGTACACACAAACAGACCCCATGTGTACATGATTGTGTTAACCCTTTCACTCCTACCAAACCCTTTCCCCCCTTGGTAACTGGAGTAGACTCTAACATACATTCATCTGGATGAGTCCATTATGGTCTACAGTGGTGAAAGGGTTAACAATGTTGTGAAAATTCTACGAAAGTCAGTCTAAATTCTGCAACAGGACACTTCTACCAAACAAAACGAACAACAGAATACATGGGTTTTTTGTCAGTTTTATTTTTTAGTCTTTGCTGCTGCTGCTGCTGGCGTTGGCTTTGAGGACGAGGCGGATGCTGTTTTGTCGGCCTTGAAGACGTGGAACTGTTTCGGTTCTGTTGACACAGCTTTCATGGAGACCATGTGTTCTATATCACTGTTGATAGCTTTCTGTAAACCCTGAAAACAAGCGAGACAGATAATTTGATGAAATTGCACAACAGATGTACTGAATGGTGTAGTATAAGGAGAACTTATAGATGCTGTTGAACTTTTGCCTTTTTCACTCTTAGTAATGATGTAGGATTTATCATGACGGGATACCTCAGTTAATTTTGTATCTGCAATAAAATTCATCAGTTTGGAAATATGTGATATCAAAGTTTTACTTTCTACAAAAACAATGTACGTGTTAAACGTTTCGCAACATTTCAAGACCTACTTGTCCCTTTGTCAAGCTATGACTGAGTGAGCTCACTCAGTCATAGCTTGACAAAGGGACAAGTAGGTCTTGAAACATTGTGACACGTTTAATAGTTACATTGTTTGTGTAGAAAGTAAAACTTTGATATCTGTTGATGTTATACTATATCTGTAGTAATCATGTAAAGGGTGAAATTAACATTATTGTTAACACTGGGCGAATGTGTGTTTTACAAGTGAAGGCAAACGTCGGACTGGGTGAAACTCCCGGTAAACAGTTTTAGGATGGTGGAAAAAAGGGAAGAAACTATGGTGGCATATTTCTGCCATCGAGTTGCAGACTTACATTTTGTCGACATAACCTCTGAATTATGTTGACATAATATGAGAAGATGTTGACATCACAAAATAGATGTCAACATAAACTGAAGAATATGTCGACTTGCTAATTTACTTGCAGAGATAAAGAAAATCAAAGATAATTATCTAGCAAGTCGGAAACTCTGCTTTATATCGTGTTTGTGCTTGGATGTGACACCAACTTGGCCGTTATTTATGTCGACATCCTAACTAAAAGATGTTGACATCTGATCTGGAAATCGGAAGAAACAGTCTTGAATCCACAGCACGTGTGCTCTTAGCAAGCATGCAGCAGCTCCTGACGTTGCTTGTGTTTACGATAGTAAGTGTTTACGATAGTAAGTGTTTATGATAGTAAGTGTTAATCAGGACTGTTTCCTTCTGGTTTCCAGAGTCTGCAACTCAATGCCAGAAATATATCACCATAGGTTTGCACCAATGACCTTTGAAATTCTTGTCTTTGATTAAAAAATATATCAATCTATCCTTACTACAAAAACGTCACATTAAGTACTTGGTCCCCAAGTAGAGAACATGGAAGAAAGTGCCTGCATGATGAATCGACTCTGCAGTGTACAGGGGCCTCGGCCCACATTCAAGCAGCACTAGTTGGGCTACAGTAATACCTATCTATGCCATCAGTTTTAGCTGTAGATTTGAGTATATTGTACATACTTTGCTGTTCCTACTATAAGTCTTTGAAAGAGTCAGCACTAACACTGTTACATACTCACAAATTCAAGATATTGTAAATTGAAATGAATTTTCAATTTAATTATAGAAGTATATATTTTTACGGTAGTCACATTTTTGCACTAATCCAAATTTGCAAAAAATAGACCAGTAAAAATAAAACTGCATGCATTGCAGCTACTTTCAAGAAATTCGCAAAAAATAACCTCAATATCAGTTTTCTGATTTACGTTATTATAAACAGGCCATACTTTACCCTTTTTAATTTTGCTGCCTCTATTAACTTTGTCTTTTTAGGTTTGATGATTTTCCCTGAAAAAACCCGAAAAGAAACATCAATTTCATTCAAATTTCCTAAAAAGTACATGTACATATATGTATCCTCAATGCAAAGTATATATATATAAGCATCCTTATAATTAGCTGTAACGACGACATAACCCAACCCCCAAGAGAACGAGAGATCCGATAGCTAGGAGAACTACTGACATACCACTGGCACTTACGGACGTTTTATAATAGTCTAACATAAACAATGAATACTTTTTAATCATAGTGGGTTTGATTTGCTTATCTGCTTACTTATGCTGAGGGGAATAGCGATTCGGTAGTTAGTCGGACCCGTGTAGATATGCCTGTGTTATGGTCTCATAACACGGAACTGGCCATTGTAGTGTTATTCCGTCTTTGCATATTGCAGAGTTATCTTCTCTTGTGATCAGGTATTGATTGTTAGTCATTGGTTTGTGTTAGAAAATTACGTCGTTTTCTCAAAAATTGATGACGTTACTCTCACAAACCAATGACTAACAATCAATACCTGCTTACAAGAGCAGATAACTCTGCAATACGCAAACACAGAATATAGTGGCAATGCTCTAGCAAATGTAAATGTTAGATGATGGACAATGCAATGGACCCAGAATAAAATTCAAACCTTGGACCTCCAGACTTCAGAATGAGGTTGTAACCTTGGACCTACGGCCTTCAGAATGAGGCTCTAACCAATTGAACTTCCTTGTCATTGTCATCGGGTGATCACCCAGTAAGTCAAATCGCAAATATTGTATTTCCCTTCTTTTTCGAAGTCTGTGCCCTGAAAGACAACATTATTGACAACCGATTTTCTGGTATCCCACTTTCTCCCTCATTAGACAGAGATATCCACACTTCAGGCCAGGGAAAGATATCTCTTTCTCCCACCCTTCACAGATGTGTCTCCCGTTTTAGCCGGGAAAGATCAGCTTGTCACCCCCTAGGGGGGAGATAGCCTCGTGCCGATTAACATGTGTTCAATTGTGACGTCATTAAAATGTGTCACCGGTGTAATTGTGACGTCATCAAAAGTGAATGACGATATTCATACCCCACATGTGTTTTTGTTTACAAACAAAAGCAGATTATTGTTAGCGGAGCTGTGAAATAATAGGATGGGAGAAAAATAATTATCCCCTACCTTGAGGGTGTAACAGAAAATCTCCTACCCTCGAGGTGAGTTTTGTTGGATGTCTAACCCCTCTGGTTGTCTAACCCTCGGGTAAGAAAACCAAAACAAGGCCTTAGCGGTCACCTGAGTTATATCATAGGTACTGGTAGCTTTATTTTATTGTTTAGATGTGATGTGGAAATCAGCATGTAAACTAAGTGAAATACAATACTTGTCATGTCATCAATGGATAAGAATTTGAAAATATTGGTAAATGTTCCCTTTGGGGCCCCGCCCTAGCCCCTGGGGATGGGGCAGGAATCCTAATTTTACAAAGTAAAACTCTCATTTACCCAAGATGATTCTGACTAAGTTTGAGCAATTTTCTGCTGAAAATGGATAAAATATATACCGAAAAGTGTTATTTCCCTATATAAACTATAT